TTCGTGCTGCTGTCTTTGTATATGGAATCAAATCTGCAGTGGAAAATGAGACAAGATGCAGGACTAACATTTAGGCCTGTTGGGGCCCACCCAGGTGAACCGGGGGTGAAAGCTAGGATCCTCCCTTCATGCACCTGGACCCACCACAAGATCTGCCAGGAAGCTGGCTGGGGAGGGACATATGAGAGTCAGGTGTGTCATGGGAGGAGGACAGAGGTCTGTCTTGATGGTCCCCAAATCCTTGTCTCTTGTATAACCTACCGTGGCCCAGTGCCCTGGTGTGTCTTGAAACCCCCTCTTCTTTGGATACTAGAAATGGCATAGGCTGGAAACAAAATCAGTTGAGAAAGAACCTGGGTCTGAGCGGGTGGGTTATTCTGGGGAGTCTGCTGTGACTTGGGTACCCTCACTGCCACACAACACAGGCTTTTAGTCCCAAACCAACCAACGCCAGCTGGCCAAGGACCACCTCTACTTAGGGTAATGAGTTCCATATGTTTCTGTAAGAACCCAGCTAAGCTTTTCCCCAGCAGTTCTTAAGAAGACCTCTCTCTTCACTGGCTTCCAACTCACGCTTGGCCACCCTAGTTTTATTTGCTCCTGATGAGGGCAGGAGGGAGGGGGCAATGACAAAAAGACAATGCTTTAGGGAATCACCACCAATCCTTGACTTCATATTTCCAGCTCCTCAGTGTGGGGTGCTGTGCACTCCACCAGCCCCTTGTAGTCCTTCTGTGAGAGCTGTGTGAGTCCCTGCACCTCTCAGAACCTCGGCTGCCCCATTCAGTGTAGGCAGAGTATCATAAAAGGAGCCCTAGATAGGAAGGTAGGAGACTTGGGTTCAAGTCCTGTCTTGACTACTAACTTGCTGTGTGTCCCTGAGCAGGCTCCTTCCCCTCTCTGGGCCACATTTGTGACTTCTAAGGGCCCTTATGTCCCTGACAGGCTTTAGCTTTATCAACAAAAGACAGAAGGCATAGATGCTTCCCTAAGAGCATCAACTTACTTATTAAACATAGGTAACTCCAGGGTGAGGTTCCTGGGAAGCCTGAGGCCTCCCTACCATGGCCAGTGTATCTGCCAGTCTGGGCTCCCTCTGACCATGGTTTGGTTTTTAGTATTTGCCACAAAGTAAGAGTAGCGTAGTAGTACTGGGGAGGAAAAGGAGTTTCCAAAGTGTGGGTGGTGAAGCCTCCAGCCATGGAAGGATCTGAATATAAGTTTAGAGGGCTCTAACACCCTTCTCCCCTTATCTGGCTTGTCAGAGGCAACCCCCGAATCCTGGTCTCAGGGTGACCAACTACCCTGATCTCCTCTGTAGGCAGACTCTATTCAAAGACTGACTCAGGATCGCTCACACCCGGTTAACCCAAGCCACAGACTGACTGCTGCCAAATTCTACCCACACTTATCCCCAAACCCTGCCACAGTCTGGCTGAACCCCCAACTCTGACCACTCTGACCCCTCACCCTACTTTCAGACCTGATTTTGGTCACAAAGAGATCCCTTGACCCTCTCACTGACTGACCCTTAACAGGAGTAATGACCAGAGAACAACAAATGCTGAACGTTGAGTGAAACAGGCCTTCAGAGAGGAGAGTTGGGCCGGATGGGGAGGGAGACTGGGGCGGAGGGCAGAGGCTTCCCGGCGGACCCCGATGGGCCTGAGGCCATACTCGGAAGGTCGGAGAGGCCTTGTGCGGGGCACGCTGCAGGCGCTCGAGGAATGCGAGTTGCCTGAAAGAATGAAGGAAGGAAGGAACGGGGTGCGCTCCAGGGCGGCCGCTCGCCGGGGCAAAGCTGCCGAGGCAGGAAGCGGCGTGGGGGCGCGCCGAGGCTGCAGCAGCCCGAGCGCAGCTGGGGGCAGCGGGAGAGCAGTCGGGTCAGCGACTCCGCCGGGTGGGGGGGGCCCCCAGGCCGGAGGCTGGGAACTGGGAGGCCGCGCTGCTGGCCGAACGGCGGGGGCGCCGCGAGGCTCCGGATGGGCTGGGAGCCCCGCCCGCAGGCTGCGGAGGGAGCCGGAGCCAGAGCGGAGCCAGAGCTCAGACATCCGGGCGCCAGCGAACACCTGCGAGCGGCCCCCAGGGCCAGAGGGGGGTGCAGCGCGGGTCGCAGGGCCGGGGGCGGGCCGGGGCGTGGCGGAGCAGGCTCCTCCCGCGGGGCTCCGGGCCACGTGGGCCTAGGCTCCGCCCTTCCCCGGGCGCCCAGAGGCGGCGGGTGGCGAGCCGTTTTCTCGCGGGAGGGCCGGGAACCCGCAGAGCACGCTCGGAGAAGCGATTCTGCGGGAAGGAGAGAGTGACAGGAGGTTTTTAGGGTGTACCCTGGGGAATGAAGAAGAGGGGTGGCCGTGAGGGGCGATGAGGCCATGAAGACAGATAATTGAAGGTTGTCGGGTGCATCCGCAGCTAGGGAGAGCTCTAACTGGCCTTCTCAAAAGGACACCCATCTCCGGTGTCTCAGGCATGGATTTGAATCCCTGCTTTGTTACTGTGTGGCCACAGGCAAGTTACTTCGCTTGTTCTGAGCCTGTTTTTTTTTTAATTTACAAAATAAAAACCGCTTCCAAATGTCCGTATTTCAGAGCTGTGGAGATAACGAACGTAAGGCACCCAGTTAACAGTGAATCTTGCATTTCAGGGAACCTGGTAGATGCTTTATGCATGTTATATTTAATTGGAACCACAAACCTGCAAGGGAAATATCGTCATCCCCCTTTCATAAATGAGGGGGAGACTAGGGTGGCCTTAGGTCTTTCATTCAGCAAGCACTCTCTGGGGACCAAATACGTGCCAGGCGCAGAGTACGGTGAGGAAAAAGAGGTGTCCTGGAGTAGAGTGAACATGGGCCTTGAAGCTAGATGGTCGAGTTTACTGATCCTTGCTGTGTGACCTGGATCAAGTTAGTCAGCCTCTCTGAATCTGTTTCCTCTGTAAACCGGGAATAATGATACCCACTTTGCTGGATTGTGGTGAGGATTGGGAAAAAAACTAGATAAAACAGAGCCTGGCACCTGGTCGGCACTCAGTAAGTAATTTTGACAGAAGACACTATTCTTTCTGAGAGTTTTCAGACCTAGGGCCAAATTGCTCTCACTAATGACTAATGAATTGGCATGCTGGTTTCAGCTTTTGTCCTAGCCACCTGAACAGCTCAGTCTCAGCGGACCTGACAGGCAATTTCCTTGGAATTAGCTTAATAATACCTTGTAGGGGTGTGATGCATTTCAAAGAATTTTCCCACCATTATCTCCTGTCCAGGGAGGCAGCAATACAAGAACCACCAGCTGATGGGCATGGGAGGAGAGAGGCTTGGAGAGATGAGGAGGCTTGCTCAAGGTCACATGGCAAATGATCCATTGAGCTCTTTGTACCCTTCCTCAGTCCCACAACTTCTGAGTAGGAAGCAGCATGTGGTGGCAGAACTCAACAGGACGTTGAGTTGGCATGGCAAGGATGTTGAGTTGCTGTGTGACCTGGCAATTAATGGTGTAATGTGGGTCCAGGAGCTTCAGTATGGCATCCTCAAGATCATCAATCTTACACGGATATGGAAACTGAGGCTCCAGAGAGGCAGTCTCTAGCTTGAAGTTTTGTAGCTAGCGTGTGGCACTGTCTAGAGCAAGCACAGTATACCTAACAAACCAACCAGGGTAGGCCCAGCTTGACTCGAGCTTACTTGGTTTGAGGCAAGAGTTCCTCACCTGGGGACTGAGGGTTTCCCAGGGGATCAGAGGTCTGCTATTGCTCTGCAGATGTGTGTGTGTGTGTGTGTGTGTGGTGCACATGTGTGTTTATTTTCTGAAGAGTGTGCTTAACCCTCCATCAGATCATGAGAGGAGACCAGGAAACAGGTTAAGAACCATTGGTTGGCTGGGAGGATGGTTGGCACAGGCAATGGTTGCCTCCCTATCACATGCCCGTTCACCCTTGAAAGCTCTCCATGGATAAGGCATAAAGGGTGATGACGTGACCTGTTTGTTATGAAATATTGAAGTAACCATGCCAGGGGCCAACACACAGATGAAATCATATCATAAACAGTAATCTGGTGAGGCCCACCTGGAAGAGCTGCCAGGTTGGGGAGCAGAGGGATGGCATGGGTTGGGAGTCTTGCCCTCTGCCCCACTCTCAGGCCTGGTTCCATGGAACCATCAGTCTCAGGACTTGGTCCTGTCCATTACAATCATAATCACTATAGTTATTATGCTACCTCTGCCTCAGACCCATTATCTACTGATCCTCAGTTTTCACATTTGTAAAATAGGGATAAAGAGCAGGCTCTCAGTGGGGGTGTTACGGGAAAGAAGTAACAGAAGGGATGAGGGCTGTAGGGCCTCTTCCTCCAATTGCCAGATCAGGGTCTGTCTTCAACTACCTGGTGGCAGAGGAGGGATTTGTACCACTATTTCCCAACCAGCACCCAAATCCTTCAGGATGACTGGAGATTTGGGAGAAGAGACCCCTCTTCTACTTTTTCCAACTTGGGAAACCAAGCCACAGAACTTGAAGGAAACAGGAGGCCCAGTGATCTGTTTATTCATCTCTGAAATGGGTCTGTCAACCATCACCTGTCTGGGTACCAAGTGAGGTTGCACTCCCACATCCTCTGCTAGAAAGACATGTTTTTGAAGAGAGCCACCTCCTAGTATAGCAAAACAGTAATCAGGGTATTTAAGAACTGGGACTCAGGAAACCTGACTTTTGTCCTGAGCTAACTTGCTAGGTGACTTTATGCGTCATTTGCCTTCTCCAGTCTTCCCTCATCTGTGAAATGAGGGGACAGGGCCAGGATCTTCACTGCACCCAAACCTCAGGGAATATGGGGTTCCCATCATGGGCCTTTTCTACCCTGCTCTCCACTTGTCTTAGCTGGGCATTTTCCCATCTCCCTTTCAGAGGAATAAGCGAGTTTGCTTTTCCCAAGCTCCAAGAACATTTTATTTCTCTTACATCCAGCCTTGTGAGAAAGTGTCAGTACTTGAGGAATCATTCTATTCACAAGTGTTTAAAAACCGTTTATTATGCGAAATGTTAACTTTTATAAAAAGTTTAATATACATCACATGGTTACAGAAAGTCACCTTCCTGCAAAAAGGTACAAAAGCTGTATACTCTATTATAGAGTTCATAATCAGGGCAACAAGAGCCTTTCTCCAAGGAGACCAGAAGACCAGCTCTACCGCTGCCTTGGCAGTTAGGAGAACAGACACATCCCCAACACCTCCACACACCGAAAGGCAGTCTTTAAAACTTGGGGGTTGTGTGGGAGCTGGGTGACATGGCCCAGCTGGTGCCCAGCTCTTTAGGCCACCCAAGTTCACAGTCCTTCGCTCCCGGGCGCCAGGTCCAGCCTCGAGGCAAGGGTTTGGGGAAGTCAAGTGGGCAGGGCGAGGTTGGGGCCCATCCATGCCCTCGGGCTTCCGGCCATAGAAGGTCCCGGGGTCCCACACGGAACCGGCGCCAGCACCTGCGTTCTGGGAGGGGGAGGAAAGAAGACCAGGGGGCCATCAGTTCCCGCCAAGCGCGCCCAGGCGGGGGCCATTCGCAGACTGGCCGGCGCCAGGGAGGAAACTTGGTCTGTACCTCCAGCTGATAACTCCGCGCCCCACGGGGCCCCCACCCAATTGGCGCCAAAGGCGCAAAGGCGGAGCTTGCAGGACTCCGCCCTCTTGGAATTGACATTAACTCGGAGGGAGCCGAGAAAGACACAATTCCGTTTACTTTAAACTACAAACAGAATCGGACCTGCGCCTTCTTTCTCAGGTCATTAGCCACTGGGGGAAAACAGGGGAAACATGCGTTTAAGGATTAGGTTGTACAATGGATGGGAATTGGCTCTGTCATTCATTTGATGTAACCATGGGCAAGTCACTTGCCCCTCTCTGGCTTTGGCTTTTCTAAATCGAGAGGGCTGTAATCCCTTTAAAGGCCTATTTGCCGTTAAGCAAAGCCTCCCTTCACCCTCCCGCCGCCACATTCCCCGAGAAGGTAGGGATACTCACCTGGAGGCGCCAGGGCGGCCAGGTCAGTGGCAGAAGCTCCTCTTGTCGTTGGAGAGCACAAGTTCCGGAGCGAGCTCAGCTGTCTGAGAGAGAAGGAAAAGGGACAGTTACTCCTGGTCCTTGGGAGTTCTAGGGCTCCAGAAGTGTCCCAGCGCTGGAGCTTTGGTCCCGTCCCGCCTCACGCGCACGCCCACGCGCACCTGGATGGGAAGATGCGGGCCGTCTGGGGGTCCAGGGGCAGGCTCAGCCAGGACCACCTGCAGGTCAAGGATGTAGTCGATGACGCGTTGCAGGATTTCCACCTGGCTAAGCTGAGTGCCTCGCGGGACTCCGGGTACCAGCTCCCGCAGACGCGAGTAGCAGTGGTTCATGTCGTCGAGCAGGCTCAGCGGCTCCTCAGCTGCGGGGCCCTTGCTACGGCCTCGCGCTATGGCCAGGCTGCGTTCCGATAGGCAGCACACCGCTTCGTAGCACCCGCGAACTGGGCTCAGCGCCTTCATATTGAAGAATGAGGTTGGAGGTGCTGAACAGCAGAAACTAAAAGACCCCTAGCGCAGCTTGTAATACGCGAACGCTTGCCGCTGTCTGCACTTATAGAGCCTGCCTCGAGGGCACGCCCCTTTATGCAAAATAGCGCCCCTCGGCCCCGCCTCCGCGAACACTGGGCGTTCCCAAGCCGGTTAAATTGCAAACAGGCTTCCTCCGGCTGGTCTGACGCCGAATACCGCGGAGTCGCGGATTCAAAGAATGAGGAAGCCGCTGATACTGGGGAGAGGTGGGACTCTTTGCCAACAAGGATTTTAAAAATCACTTAAAACCATTAACTTTAAGAATTTGCCTTTTCCTGGCAGCGCCCCAGATCTTTGAGCGCCCCTACCGCCTGCCAGTCCACCCACAGCCCAACACAAGTTCGAACCCATAGTTCTTCCGAGGTCATAAATCCCTGAACAGCAAAGAAGCTTTTTTTTTTAAGCAAAGGATTTTTCAAGGGAAACTTGTAAGGAATTAGTGCCGCCTTGTTCCCCAATTTGCTGTTCGTCTGACCTCCAGACTCACTGGCGTCAGGAATTATCTTGTGACCAGAGGGGAAAAAAATTAATTGCGGTGAAGCTGAGGTTACAATGAAGAAAACAGATTTGGGCTAGGCGCTGAGATTGCAGAAGGAGGAGGGGAAGGGGGTTTGGGGAAAGAACACTATTTATTTGAGCAACAGGGGAAAAGGAAAAAAAAGAAGCAAGCAGCCTGAATCTGTGCTTTTTGCATGGGGCAGGAAAAGAGCTCTCACCCTCTGGCTCCATGCACTCCACAAGGAGCCAAATATATACCCAGTTGTGTTTTGGAAGTGAAGACTTTTGCACAGAGTTTTAAATATAAGGGGACAGAAGAGATGATTTCTATATAAGCCTTTCTAGGAGCCTTCCCACCCCCTTCCCCTTTGGGTCAGAAAATCTAACTCTTGCTTTCCCTTTCCCCCCAACTCTCTGACATCTCTATGCAGAAAACAATAGTTTGGTAGTTTCATCACTCTATTGTCTGTCCCTTTCTGCTATGGAAGGGCAGGTCACCTGGATTTGATTATTCTTAGCCTTGCTGAAATAGTTCCAGCTCTATCTGAGAGCCCAGGAAAGAGATCAGAGGATAGGCAAGCTGAGTCCTGTATTGCAGCAGGACATTGCACTCAATATTCTTTGCTTTTCTTCATGCCACTTCCCAGGACTTTTGGGAATTTGAAGTCTCAAAATGCTTGTTTCCATCTTGGATCTGACCAGGTGGGATCTTCAATGGTTGGTTCCTTAATCAATCAGTTGTTAAATATTTATGGAATCACCTCACATAAAACAGTGGCTCCTGCTCTCAAGAAGCTCACAATTTGGGGAGACAAGATTAACACAGGAAACAATTAAGAGTTCTATAGTATGTGGCACTGATTAACAGGACAATGGGAACTCAGAGCAAGAAGACTCAAAATAGTCATAGTGAAAAGGACACTGAACTGGGAATCAACATCCCAGCCCTGCCAATAATTTGTCATGTGTTCTTGAACAAGCCCAGTTGCCCTGGCCTTAGTTGCCTTGTGAATAAAATGGGGAGATGGTGCTAAGTGTTATTTAAAATTTTTCCAACTCTGGAAGTCTAAGGCTTCATGAAATTCAGACAGGCAGGTAAAGGGCCCAGAGAGAGGCTATAAAACATAATGGCACATAATGGCAGAACTAGTCATGAAGCCATGTTCTTTGCTATCCTGCCACAGGGATCTATGTCCCAAGAAAGAGGTCTTTGAAAGATTCCTTCTTGGAATATTAATGTGTTCAAAGATAGCCTCTTTAGTATAAGAAGAAAGAGGAAAATAACTGGTGAGTGCACAGAGATTCTGTATTTGCTACATGTCAAGTGAAATGTGTGCCAAATCATGGGAAAGGAAAATGGTGGCTATGTGGACCCCTGAATAACCAAATAGAAAACTCTTTCCTTTTATATCATGCAGCTTCTGTGGTTTGTGCAAAATAATCAAGCCCAGGAGATTCTGAAAATGTCATGGCCTTCAGAGCCAGTGAGATTTATGATCAAGTCTTTTCTTATACTAATGATGTGAACTTAGAGTAAGTCAATTCTCTGTGCCTCAATTTCCCAGTTTATAAAATGGAGCTGATTAGATCTAATTAATTCATTAAACTATTATTGCCTGCCTCTCTGTGAAAGGCACTGGACATGTTCACTCCATCAGATCTGTTGGCCTCCTTGGTGCCTGGGGACCCAGCAAGGGGCCAGGTGTGTGGTAGGTGCTCTCCACAGGTCCACACAGGTTCTCCCTCTTTCCTTTTCCCTTCTCTATTACTACCACTGATGCCTCAGGCTTGGAAAGCTGTTTGCAAACACCTTCACATTTCGTATTTCCCAAGATGCTTACAGGCTGAAATGCCCATAGGCTGTGTGACAGAATGCAGAAGGATGCAGAGGGATTAGCAATCTGAATTCTCTTGGTCATGCCAATCACTTGGTATGTGGCCTCGGACGAATTTCCTTCCTTCCTAGGCCGCATCTTCTGTAAAAGCGTTGGCGGAGGGGTGTGGGGAGCAAATGACTTCTAAGGATCCTCTCTAATGTAAGATTCTAATTCTGTAAAAAGCAGGTTATGGTTGGAAACACCGAATAAAATCTGAACCCAAGAGGCTTCTTTTCCCAACAGCGGGCTGGAGGGCAAGCTCAGGCCTCTGCAACTTGTTTAGCGGTGGCGGGGCCTCAGCCTCTTATTCCAAATGCCTCTGAACTTTCTGTTCCCAGTTCTGCTCCTTTTACCAGCTTTTTCCCCCCTCTTGCATTTTTTATTTTTATGAAAGGATGTCATTAAGGCTTTTGTCTGCGCTGTTTTTGTTTCAGAACTTTTCTCACAATCCTATTTTTTGTTGAGGAATCCGCTCCTTTGCCCAGCTGTGGGTCCCGGTCCCACAGCTGTGTTGATCTAAGACTCAGCCCCAGACAGCCTGGCGCCAGGGTGGGACGTCATGCGTTCACACAGGGATGCGTGTCCCAGGCAACCTTTCCTCGGGCAGTCACCGGTTGGCCGCTGCTGCCCCCACCAATGAGCGCCCGACACCCGAGAAAGGGGCGGGGTCTGCACCGCCCCGAACCGCGAGCGGCTTGTGAATTGCAGATGCTGAGAACTTGATAACGTTCCTTGAATTGGGGCCCTTTAAAATCTCCCCCCAACTTTAGTTCTTTCTTTTGTTTATTCTTTCTTTCCACCTTCTTTCTTTAGTCTGTATGTGTATATAGTTTTTCTTCGTTTTATTCCTTTTTTTAACTATCTCCTCCCAGTGTCAGGAATCATTTTGTAAGCATTTCCAGGAACTGAATCTGTCTTTGCCAAAATTAAAAAAAAAAGAGAGAAAAGAGAAAGAAAAAAATGTCAGTGCTGTGCTCTCTGACTTTTTGAAGAGTTGGCAGAACTATTAAGTTTACTGTTTTGTCTTAAAAATTTTTTTAAGTGGTGGGGGGTCTCTGAGCTGTTGATTTCAAAGCCAAAGTAATGATAATGAGAATTGCAGATGTCTTTTTGTCTAAATTGAGCTTCTATCTACCTACCTATTTTTTTTTCCCATTTATGCTGTAAAGTGGGAATCAAGGGAACATCAGAAAGTTGCCCAAGGTTATTTGGGATGTCAACTGCAGACCTGTAGCCAGGACCCAGACCTCCCCCTCACTTGGCTCTGAGTCCATGCTTCCCCCTAACTCTACTTAGCATTAGGGTGGTCTGATGCTGCGTTTCCTAATATGTACCTGTTTGCTCACAAAGTACCCGTAAAGGTGTGCTGAGGACCTTCTGGCCACACACATAGAACATATCCCTTCTCCCTTCAGAGAGGCTAGCGCTCAAAGTACTCTTTGAAGCTCATGTGATACAATGGAAGCACAGAGAATTCAGAATCAAGACCAGACTCAAAGCCCTGAATGGACTACCCTCACTGCATCAGTAGTCTCCTCTGTAAAATGGGAAGGAAAATAATATCCACCTACCTCCCAGCTGGGAGGATCAAATAGAAGGGAGGGGTGGAAAGTGCTGTGGGAACCAATTATTTTTATGTGCTATGATGTGATTTAGCCCCTGGTGAGTGGGGTAAGTGGTGCCAGGTGAGTTTAATGGTTCCTGCTGAGACAGTTCTCAGGAATGTGGGTAATACTGTGAAGGAAAGTGTGGGGAGCATTGAGATCTACAGCATGAGATTTACCATGGGTGAGGATTTCAAGAGCTTCTAAGATGGTCTCTACAGTTCAGTACTGGTGCCATCATTATTATCATCTCTCATTTAATTTTAATTCTTTGCCAAGTCCTGTTTGCCCTCTCACACATATCTCATTGACCCATTTCATGGGCAAAAAATTGAGGCTCAGAAAGGTTAATGTGTATGCCCACCCAAAATCACATAGCTAATAAGCGGCAGATCCAAGATTTGTACCCATGTCTGCCTGTCTCAAAGCTTGTCACCTCTGTGCCTATGCTTTTCCTTCTGCCTCTTCAAGGGACCTCCTGGGAAGACAGGTTGGTTTTATCTTGGGAGGGTTTTATCCTACCTGATAGAGAAAAGCAAGGAGGGACGCATTAGGTAGGAAAACTGACACTAAGGTATTAGGGACATTAAGGGAACACCTTTGTTTTCTAAGCAGAGAGATTCAGAAAGCATTGGAAATTTCTTAGAAATTGAAAACCCCCAACTTCATCACCCTGCCTTAAGGAAGGGATATTTATTCTTAAGCCAAGTGAAGGTGACTACTCCTGTTTTTAGGAGTCAGCTTGGAATTGAGCTTCTGCTCTCTCTCCTTCTTCCAACCCAAATCCACCTGAGCTTGGTCCAGTCATACCATGAGGAAGTTAACTAACCCCTTACTTCAGCAGGTGGGCAGTGATCATAGGATGTCCAGGGGCTGGCTTGGCATCTGGGGTAGAGGGGTAGGTACCCATAGAGTAGCAGGGAGTTTATTTTCTGAGAACCTATCCTGTGTAGCATGCTGTATAAATTCTATATTGTATAATCTGCTCTAGAGCCTTTTGGGATAGGTATTATTATAATAAAGATACTC